GATAAAACTGTTGATGACGTGGCAGCAGAAAGGAAAGCGGGAAAGTTAGATCTGAGCTAGCAGAGACCGAGGCGCAGGCAGAGAGCCGAGCCCTTCCACGCGCCCGTGAGCCTGGAGAGGGAGAAAGCTGCCGGGCAGCTAGGCTGGGGATCTCTTCAGCTCCACCAAAGGCCTGCCATCGGGCACCAAGCCTGTGGTGAACGCGGAGGCAAGCTAAAGGAAAGAACGTTTGAATGTCTCTTCAATCTTCAGGGAGTCTGAAGATGACCAGAAGCTGAAAAGGTGGAAGGAGCGACTTGGAATTGTCCCGGGTTCAGCTGGGACAGGAACCGCAAAGGATACAGAGGCAAAGGAGAGGCAACGAGCAGAGCAGAGCGCTTTGGGGTGCCTGATGAGGAACCCTTGCTGCTTTCTGTTCTCCGGTGGTTTCCATCTCTCTGACTCTTGGTCACATACAGGCCTAAACCCACAGTCCTGTGCCCAGGGCCTGCCTCTCAGTGGACGAGCATGCACCCCGGGCCCACCTGTGAGCCACAGCAGCAGTATGACTTACTGCTCTTCCAACTTTAAGATTGTTGTGTTGTTTTGCTTTTAATAAAAAAAAACCACCAAAAAACCACAAAATAAAATAGAAAAAAAGCCTCAGAATTTTTATGCAATGATTTTGACATTATAGAGACAGACAGATACTATTCAATAAAACGTGTGCGTTATCTCACCGGGTTGTAACCCCCTTGAGGGAGACCAGCCTTAGTCACAGCTCCATCCCAGACTCCAGCACAGGGCCTGGTCCAGAGCAAAGAGCCTCATAGCAACACTGGGCACGTTGCTTAGCCCACTTTTATTTGGAAGGCTTTCCGTTTTAAGGCACTGAACACCTAACTGATTCATTAAAAGCTTGCTGAGTACACTTGGAACTTTTATTACAGATTGGAGATTTATTTCCTCCCCATGTGACTTCCCACTGTAGTCCCTGCCCAGGCGTCCAGCTTTCCTCCCTGCTAGTCTTTCTCTGTGTGTGTTCCAGCCAACCTGGCCTGTTCTGAGCCAAGGATCTTCTCTCTCCGGGGCTTTCATATTTACTTTTCCTTCTTCCTGAAATCTCTCTACCCCTCTTTAGCCTTAATTTGAATAGTTAATATTTATGCCTTTATATCTTTGCTTAATATAGCTTCTTTGTGCATAATTTCCTTCACAAGTCGTCCCCCATCTCCCCGGATAGATTAGTTATGTAATCTTATAAAATCCTTTATTTTTCATCACAACTCTTATTACAAAGAAATGATATAGCAATGAGGCTACGACAGACACCAGGGATACAGAAATAAAGTAGGGAACTTCTAAGTAACAAACAACCAATTTTAGATGCATAATGAGTGTTCAGCCAATTTTTTTGCTGAATAAATAAATGACTAGATCACCAGTAGCCGTATTTTGTGAGACTTGATTATCTCTCTCATGTTATTTTGAACCACATATAATTCTGACAGAATAAGTCATTTAGGAAGTTCAATTTCAGGCTATTGGAAACACCGTATATAGCCTGGGTCCTATATGCAAATTTAAGAGAGAAATGTTGATAGTTTCCAAGTGTTTCTCTAGGCATGCCTCATATCATGTAACATGAGCAATAAGCTGAGGATGATTAGATCCAAACAGAGAAGGCTCAGAGAGCAAAAACTTGTTCTAAAATAACTGAAAAGCCATCATATTAAAGAGGTGCACAGTAGCTCTCTCCTGAGCTGAAACTGGATGACGTACATCCAGAGGTGGGGGACACAGAGTCTGCATAAATACCTCCCATGGTTAGTCTAGAAGGAATTTCTTCTTTGATTGTTGATACTCAGCTTTTGACTCACTTAGGGTTGGAAATCAAAGGCCGCCTTTCATACAACATTAATATCCTTATAAGAAAAATGTTCCTTTAGTAAATAAGCCAGTAAGTATTTGTTATAGATTCAATGTTTGTGCCATGCGCTCCCCCCCCCCCC